TTCATGGCCGTTTTCGTGGTTTTCCCCATGTGTAACTTGTATACATGCCAGTTTCTCGTAGAAAGTCCTCCACGAAGGCATCCCTCCTTTTAGGCAAATAGCCCTTGTATGCTTTGCCATAATTAAATAATGCGATCCAATCTAACTTTGTATATGTATAAAATTCATAACAATACTGATTTCTAGATTTCGCAGTTTTACTGTACGATGATAGAAACCAACATCTATGCACATAAGGGCCAGTTTAAGATGTATTTTGATGTCACAAATCATTCAACATAACTTGTTAATCTAATAAACATAACTTCTTTCAATGTACTATTAGTTAATAATTTCATCAAATTAAAAAAGTAAATAGTGATACAGATATGACAAAACTGAATAAATATGATAAGGTTGTAACTGTCTAGATTAAAGAATGATATTTTTGTGACTTTGTCTTATTTTCTTTACAGGGCCTTTGCATATTTGTATATATTAGTAGGTTGTAATGAATAAATAAAAGTCACCTTTATTTGCTTCAGTTATATAGTATGAATGGTTATATCAAAGCATAAGCAGTCCATAGCAGAAGCATAAGTCTAATATCGTCTTTATTTTGGGCTCAATGTTCTTTTGCCACTTACTTCATTAATAACCAATTTCTGCCTTATTGAAACACTGACAGATATTGCATTAAAAGTTTTCAGTTTGATGACCGATTAGCTTATTTTTTTATTCAAAATTTATCACAGATAATACAAATATTTATCATAAGTCATTAAATAAGTGAAGAATTTTTTGATGATGTTAATTTTCTGTTGTGTTTAGGTATGAATGTTATGTAATTTTTTGTTAAAATAATGATAATTATTGAAGTGCATATTTTTTAGCAGTTGAATGTTTCGGGGTTTAATATAATGTTGATCCTTGTTTGCAGTACTTCTTGTAAATATCAGTCTGTGTCTGTCAGAAGGATACTTGACACTGCAGATGCTTTAAATACTATTTTGTTATCTGCTTCTGATGATGTATCTGAAAATCTCAAATATTGCTTCCAAGTAAGTCTAATTAAATTTATTAATACATATCTTAAATAAAAGAGAACCATGCTAACTATAGAATAAGATAAAACTTATCTTTATGCCTACTTTTAGAGATATGTTGAGCGCATTCTAAAAATATTTGATAGAGGTTACTTTTAAAATACTTTTAAGTATTTTTTTGAAATTGATATCAATCCAAGCTTGAATTTACTTAATTTTATAAGCTTTCGAGTGAAATTTACCTTCAAACTCAGCATCTCTTTTATAAAATGATAACTCATTCTATTCATTTGCATGAAATATTTTTGTCATTAGTAGTAATGTATTAAATGTATGTAAAATGATCATGGGATGCCAAAAATGTTCCTTTTGGAAATTCTAGATGAGTTTAAAGCATTAAATGACTGGCTGATCTATTGTATTGACATTTAGCATTAAATGATATTTTTACTCATGTCTGACAATACAATATTAAACGTCAAAAACATATTTTACTATTTATATAATACATAGTGATCTAAGATAAAGCAAACTCAAAGCAAATGAAGAACATATGAACTGTAAGGCAATATTATACATGTAGATGAAAGACAAGGCCGTACATACATGGGTTCCTTCATCTCTACAGATACTGCTGGAAATGTTGACTGTCATGATTCAGGCACAGTTTGGTCTGTTGAATCATGTTCAGTGCAACATGCTGTAACTCGTCTTATTGAAGGTTGGTGATAGCATTGTTTATATTCTGTTCAGTGCATCTAGATTCCGTGGATTATTCTAGTAAACCTATGACTATAGATGCCATATTAGTTCCTTTGAGACAGTCCTATGAGGTGTGAAAACTGAGTGCAGTGTTTCTTAGGAGGCATTTGCTGTCACAACATCCTGCCATTGAATATATTTAACTCTTTTTGATTTGTCTTCTACCATGTCTAGTTCAGTTTATTTTAAGCCACCTTCTGTTTCTTATTTGATGCATTAATTATATTTAATTAATATCAGGTTGTCTAGAAACTAATGCAGGTTTTTGCAATTGTTTATCTTTCCTGTACATTTTTAGCAACACAAATATTTTGAATTACATTGGTTTATATATCATTTTGAAGCTCTATTTCCACTCTATATTTCTATAATAATCATTTTGTTCCAAAATTATTTTTAAAATATTTACCAGGTGTTTTTGTGTAGATGTCAAAATGGGATTTTCTGCAAATTTACTTTTATGAGTGCAAGCTAGGCCACATCGCGCCACCCGCTCTAAATGGTCAACGAAGATGGGGTGAGAAAGTTTTAATGAATCTACAGTGTAACTGTGAATAACCAAGTTTTTCGTCATGGAATTTTAAAACAACCTGAAAGATCAAGCGCCATCGGGGTGCTCTTCAGCTGTTGATGACGATGATTTTTTGAAGATTTTAAGTTGAAACAACCCTGTATAACTGTTCGCCGGAAGCTTGCAAAACAACACTTTCGATCACTTGAATCGTTAGGAAATTCAAAGAACTCGATAAGGGGCCGCCTCACAAATGGAGCAAAATTCAAAAATTCACTGTTTTGAAGTGTCTTCTGCTCTTTCTTCTCCGCACCAAAAAATGACCTTTTTCTTGATTCAAATTAGTACCTGCGATAAAAGAGGATGTTCTTCAAACAAACCGCAACACCCAGCGCATGCTTGACCGGGCGGTCAGACAACCAAAACACTTTATTACAAAGCCAATTTCATCAAAAAAAATTAGGGTGAACTGTTTGGGTGGGTCTGAGGCCGGTCTCAATCCACGCAGCTCTCTCCTATGTGGGCGAACAATTACGGCAGATAAGTACTTTTCAATTCATCAAATCATCAAAATGCACCAAAAATTGCAAACTCAGGTGCTCAGCTTGAGAAACAGAAAGCGGTCCATTTTCTTCTCCATGACGATGCTTCGCCCGCATGTCCTGCACCTGACCCTAACAGAAATTGGGAAAATTGAGAAACGAGATTTCCTGCCTCATTCCCCCATATCACCTGACTTCTTGCGACGGCATTACCACTTTTCAACTCCGATAACATTCTGCAGAAGAAATGCTTCAAAAACCAAGACGCAGTCAAACGCCTTTGACAACTTTACCGCGTCCAAATCCAGAATTTTATTCTAATATTCTATCTCACCGGCCTAAAATAAACTTATATCTCATTTGCAAAAACATTGATTCGGCTGCTGCTTATTTGATTATAAATGTTTCTGATTGATTTAGGATCCTTTAAATATAGGTTAAAAACCTGCATTATTTTCCGGACAACCTAATATTCAATCAAAATTTTGTTTGATATTTGAAATTTGTCACCAAATTAAAACTGCTTATTAGGAAAGAATGAAAAAAGATTGAAAATTTAATTGCAAGAAAAAACAATGCCACTAATTTTTATATGGAAAAGTGTGCAGTGGCTAGGTAATTGTCCTTAATAATCTCAATACTAAGTTTAAACAGTTTGTTATGTTATGAGTAGTTTTATATGACCATAGTGCTTTTATCTCTACATGTAATAAAACAAAGAGTCTGTGTGTGTGTCTTTCGTTCACGCTGCGCGTAAGCTAATAGACCCACAGCTACGAAATTTGGTACATAGGTGCATCTAGACAAGAGCCAGTGCACCTCGAAGCGATTTTTTCGAAATTTGAATTAGAATTTTTTTTATTTTATGTTTTGTGACAAAATCACGTCATTTTGAGACATAATGGGCTATAGGAAAGCGAGATTTTACTCTCACACCCTTCACATCGTCATGAAACGTAGGCACTTAGCTTTTTATGAACTTAAAAAATTTCGTGTTTCAATAAATCGATTAAAATATAATTTATTTAACAAAGTGAGCTTAACACCTTTTCAAGCGGATTTTTTCTAAAAAATTTATGTTTAAAATGTACAGTTTATTTTCTTTGATTTTTGGACACATTAAAACTTTCATCCTGCGACTGCTTTACAAAAAGAATTTTGAAAAATGATATATTTTTGTATTTTTAAAAAATTTTAATGAAGCTTCCGAGTACACTTTTCACATCTCACATCTTTAAATGTGATTTTGGCAACAATTTTCCTTATTGTTTTATAGATTTTTGATGAAATCGCATCATTTGAATAGTTTCATTCTTAGAAATATGGGTTTGGACAATTTTTCATCGTTTCTTATGTCACTGTTTTTTTAAGAGATTACATATTGCATTTATTATTATTTTTTTATGTTTTTTGTGGTAGACGGTTTCATTGATTTGCCGATTTCGTTTGGGTCGAGTAATACGACTTATGGTAAACCATTGCTGGATAGTTATTTATGGTAACCGATACTTTGTTGTCATTTTATTTAAAAATAAGCTTTTATTATGCAAATTCCGTGTTTTAATATTATTTATGGCTTCTAAATATTAAAAATCAATTTATTTTGCATTTTTATTTGAAAAAAAATTTGTTGTTTATAATATTCTATATAATTTTATGTTGTGGATGATGTAATCAATGACATCACCTTACTTAAAAGGAATTGGTTTTATTAATATCTATAAATTTTATCTAATGTTTTAAATATTATTTATGGCTGTTAGTATTAATACAATTTAATTTTTGCATTTATTTAAACAATGATTTTATTATGAAGATTATTTAAATAATTTTAATTCTATGCGGGATGTAATCAGCTCCCTGATTGGTTACTGAATATTTGTGCATTACTGTGCCATTTTAAAATTTTATTATTTTTCTCTTCGAATTCCTCAGATTTCAAATAGAATGGATATGTCCGTTTTGAAGATGAATGTTGTTATTGGTAATTACCAAGAATTAGTGGTATTGGAATAAAAAAATTGACCTTTGAGACCTTATTTTAGCCAACCTGGCTTTTCTAATCACAGATTTATTTATAAATTGTTAATAGCGTCAGAGGAAATTTATTTTAAATTTTTGGAGAAAACCTCGCTAATTGCTTCTTCAATGAAGTGTGAGAGATGTGGATCACAAATGAAGATCGTTAGAAGACCCCCCCTTTTTTTTTGTCGTTTTTTGTTTTTGTGGTACTTATCAATATACGACAGGTAAAATACTTTAAAAAATGTAAATACATAATTTTCTTTCACTTTATTATTGTATACTTCAACTTTTATTAAAAATTAATACAATGTTTTCAAAAATTCCTGAGATATTTATTGCCACATATGTTTTAATGTTAAATAATTAATTCCTATAAAACTTATTTTAATGTATTTAAGTAATATTTTAATTCTTTTAAACCTTGGTATGATGTTTTTAATTCGATATTCAATTTAAGTAATATTTTAATCCAATTAAATGTTGGTGCAATGTTTTTATAGCGGTGTTTTTATTCTATTTCTCTGCTATATGAAAGTAATAATTTAACCTTTCTTTAGTATTTTATACTCGCAATAAATGTATTTTTTACATTTGCCTGCCATCTTAAAAAACAATGTTTTCAACAAAAAATTAATCCATTATTTTTAACGATATTTATTTTTTTAAGGTTTCTAATACTTTAATATGCGCAAAATAATGTAAAATCTGCGTCAACAATTGCGCCAATGTAAATCGCCAAAAATCCGTGCAACCATCTACCAAAGTAGCACCTAATTTTTTTCTCTTGAAAATATAACATAAAATATCATTAATTATACTTTGCTTTTCAGAATACAATATATATATTGTATTCTTTTATGTTATTTATTGCTCATTTCACTGTTTTTGAGATATTGAAAAGTTTGAGTGATTTTTTTTTTAGGAAACAAAGTTCTTAACCTCTTTTATACCATTTGAGTTCTAAGATTTTGCATAGGGAAGTTGGTTAATTTTTATTTATTTATTTAATATTATTTTAATTTTATTAAGGGATATTGCTTATTTCATTGTAATTTTGTTATACGTAATAACTTCTTTTTTATGAAGTTTTTCTGAAGAGTAAAATTCTATGCAGTTTTTAAATTTAGCGTTTGGTATTCCCTTCAGCCATTTTTCCGGTACATTTAAAAGCCAGACGAAGGCTGGCAGCGAATCTGCTAGTGATGTTATATAACACAAACTACATATTTTATAAAAGGTCACATTTTTCTAATAATTCAAACTGGATTGCTTATATGGCAAATTTGGATGCATATGTATTTTGTTCTATGTCAAATATAAGAGCAAAATTTTATTTAACTAACAAGTTATTTTTCGTTAGTTCTTTTTTATCTTATTCTTTTCTGTTTATTGGCCTTTATGAAAATTAGGTAATGTTTGATTAAGCATATTAGCCTTTTTTGCATATCTGTCAGTAGCTTGCATTGAAACTGTGTTTGTCTAACAATCTAATCAGACTTCAGCCCTTGCATACGAGTCTGCTGTTGTAGATTTGGTGAGTGATTTAGTATCGTATTAAGAGTTAGTGTTAAGCTGATAAGAGCTTTCCTTTTATGAGTTAAGAGTTTGCATTATATTTAATTTGAAATTATAAGTGGTGTAAGTACCAATCAATAACTTTTGTTACTTAAAATTTGGTAGTGTCGTATCTATAAAATTGTATTTTATTCACATCTGAAATCCTGAATCAGTGTGACAGTGAGCATTTGCTCTGGCAATTTATGGTTGGATAAGTTAGGTGTAATTAGAGCCATCCTTATACAGTAATATGTCATTTGAATTTAGAGCATTCTTAGGGAAATGCTAAGAGATCTGGGCTATTCATGTCTGACAATTAAGAACATGAAGAGATGATTTGCAGTAAATGAACATCACCATCAATAAAAAATTATACATTATGTTAATAATGAATATTTCACTATCTGAACATTTTTTGACCACCTAAAAAAAGTTAATGAAATTATTCTACTTCCTTGCTGATCTACTTCCTCTTAAAAAAATTACATGCATTATTTTGAGAAACTTTGTAATTGAAAATTCAGGTTTAAAGGCAATATTAAAAGAAATAAAAAAGTGCATAACTATATTTTTAGCATACTATAATAACATAGCTAATTCTGCTCTACATTATTTTTAATCGCACATTCTATATCAGTGATGTGTTCATTAAATATATGTATAGGGAGGATACTGATATGTAACAGCTGCATCACATGTTAATATTGTAACATGGAAATTTATTTATTATATTCATTTGTTGTATTTATAGAAATTTTAAAACTGTACTATAGTTTTATCCTTTTTTTTATTTATTTATCTTTGTTCCCTTTTCTTCTCTGCTTTTTGGAAGAAAATACTGTTGCATGCCATTTCAGTATAACCTTGTTTTCTGCTTTATTCATTGTATTTTCTAAATAATATATGACAGTGATTCCCAAAATATGGGTTGTACCTTGCAAGTGGGTTGGAAGAGAATTTTTGGAGGCTAATGAAATGTGTGGAAGTAATATTTTTATGGTATAATTGTATACATTTATTTTTTAAAGTTAATTTATAATTATAATAGTTGTTTCAAATGGCTGCACACATGCAACTTAATGCATTCATTGAGAATGGTCAATACATATAATTATTAGCTGTATCATCACCAAGAAACTCTTATTGTTGTATGTATTATGTATTTTTAATTCAGCATTTTTTTTTTTTTTTTTTTTTTTTTTTTCAGAAAAGTCTGTATGTATGTAATAATGAATTGCAGCTATATGCAAGTATATCACATAGTTAGGAAAACTTTTATATAAAAGTACATTTAAATTTATAAAATATAAGCACATTTAAATTCGATCTGTTTGTAGTGATTATTACCTATCTGATGATTTGCAGTGTTTTTGTCATCAAGCATATATGTCCCTTACCACTTTATCAATTTGGTTTTCATGTAAATCATATTATAGAGGCCAGTTATTTTTAGGTCTTATCTATTTAAGATGGTTCTACACTCTATTCTATTTTAGATAATGTAGTATCTAGTTACAGTTTCCATGTAATAGAGGCCAGATTATTTTTAAATCTTGTATATTTTTTAAATTCAAGCAGATGAAATTGCATTGAACTTTAAAAAGTTTAAATCTTGCCATTCTGTTTTGCTATTTGTTTATTGGAATAATTGAAGACATATTTCTTATGTTTAGAAAACATTTAGCACAGTAGAAATGAGCTAATGATGAATATATTTTTCCCACTGGAAGTATCAAGTTAGCTTATATATCTTCCTTGAAAAAATTGTTTGGTGTCCCTTGTGCTATGATGGAAGACATCTCTGGGTGTTTTTAGAGGTAGTCAGCATAAAAACGTTCATCATATTTATCTTGTTGGATTATTGATTTTATTTCAAAAGCATTTCAACTTCTCATGCAATAAAATAAATTAAATGATGCCTTTGTTATATTTTATTCTGTATAACCGTTATTGCTGATAGATCTGAGTGGTACAGTTTTTCTAAATTTGAATTTTAGTATTATTAATTAACATGCTATAATTGGCAATAATGGCTGTAAAACTGCAGGTGAAAATTCTATAACTAATGATGTGCATTATTCTGTGTTCATTTTTTAAAATTTTATTTAAGTTATTTCAGAATTTAAGTGATTGTTGTACTCAGTTAATAGTTAATGAAGTATGAATACAAATTTTAAAAGATTGTGTTCATCTTAAAAATTCCTTTTCCTAGAAATGTACAGTAGATGCCTCTGCTAATGTAAAGAAATTTGTATCCGAATCTGAAAAAATATTTATTGGAGCCTTTTTAAAATCACATGAGGGCAGTGATAAAACCTTGGCTGAAAGAAGATATAAACTGGCTTCTCGGTATTATTATATCATGCTTGATGCATTACTAAAAAAGGTAAGATTTATTTAATTTAATGAATTTATTAAAAAAGCAAGTTTCATTATTTCAAAACTATTTTATGCATAGGTATGTGATTTATAATTTTTTAGTTTTAGATTGCTTTAAGTATCTATATTTATGTAATATTTGCAGGAATCTGAGAGTCTGGAACCATCAGAATTTTCTTCATTTCTACAGAATGATGTTTTTCATAAAACATTGTTAGCTTGCTGCTTAGAAGTAACACTTATGTCATGTGGATCTGTAGGTAAAATATTTTGGATTTCTTAGATGTCAAATTTAAATTTATGAGATGATTCTTGTGATCTCACCATACAATGATTTTTTTAATTGTTATTATTATTACATGTACTCTTCTATTAAAACCTGCACTATATTTTGGCACCATATTGGTGCATTTTGGTTCATTTCCTCCTTCCACGCTTTTAGCTCAACACTAGATAAAATGACAGAGTTGGAAACAGCAACAAAGATAGATTCTTTAACTCTGCAACTTAAATCTTCCAAATTTCAACTGTAGGGGGGGATAGGGTTTACGTTAATTTTCTTTCTGTGACTAAGTTTTCACCAATTTCACAGTTTTGTTGCATCCGTCAGTTTTTAACGTTTAACATTATGACAAGGAATCGTCACAACCTCTGCCATGTAATAATTCTACTCAATTATTGTGTTGTGCTTATTTGAAAAAAATTTTGATTTGCGAAACACAGAAAACATTAATTTCTGATGCCATAAGTAATTGAATCATATGCGAGTAATTACCTGTCCAACCTTGACAAGAATCACTAGACAAAGCGCTATGTCACCAAAGAGACAGCACAGGTTTTTATGAAAATGTATTCATCTGGGCAACCCACTAATGTTTCTGCATAATGCTGCTGCCTCCCATCTCTATAGTGTGGTAGTAATTTGCATGGTTTTGAAATTCGATGGTCGTGTTTGTGGTTTTTGTATGTTTGTAATTAGTGTGTGGAGTGTTCCTCCCCCTCTTGTAATGAATTGTAATGCCACTGTGGGCCTACTACTGAAAAGAATGTATTTTATTTTTTCAGAAATATGGTGTTTTGCGTACTAGTAGAGAGTTCAGGAATATGCAATCCATCAAGTTAATGTCTGAAACTCTCCTTTTTTTCAAGTTAAAACAAGTTGATGTGTACATGGAGAGCAGTGTTGGGAATTCTGTAGCTCTCCAATTTTTTTCAAGCTAAAACAAATTACTGTGTACATGGACAGATGACCAGGAAAATAGAGAGTTTTTTTTTATTATGGATATTTGTTGTGTTTTTAATTTAGCTGATTCATTATGTTTGTTTTATGTAATTTTGTGACTATGTGATGTGTATTAAGAAACACTGATATATAAAGATTCAAAATTGTTATTTTATTAGATTCTTCAGCATCTACTATTGTTTTAGAATTTCGGTTGCTGTATTGATATATTATAGTTTTATCTGTAATCTTATTACCAAAGAAAAGCATTTGGAATTGTTTTAATATGTGAATTAATTTTCTGCAGATAGAGGACATCATTTAAAAGTAAAGTGTCCTAAATACCCAGATTTAAATATAGGAAATAATCCTTTAAATTAAGGAAACAAGCTTATTTTCAATTTTTCTTAGGTTTTTGTAATCTGTAAAGTATTTGTTGTTAATTTCTAGCTTATTTGTGACTTAAGTCTCTTATCAAATTTTGTTATGCAAAAATATCTGCACATAAAACATTAAGCTATGTTGACATGTTTGTAAATTAGAACTCTTTCACACATCCCTGCAGCAAATATAAAATATGTTATATTGATTCAATACAAAAATCAGCAATATAATAATGTTGATATTGTTTTCATAACACGTATATTATTTATATATTCGTTGAATACACACGGGAGATTAGTTTATGATAGGTTTTAGAGAGTTTTTTATTATTAATTCATTAAATGGCTATTTCCACTTTTTTTCATTATTATCTTAAAATGGCTATTAAAAATAAAATTTTTGGCAGGTTCACATTTCTAATACATATTGGTTTTAAAAAAGATCCTACAATGTAAAATTTTTCATTTACATCATCAGATATTTGTGCCAGTATTACGATTAATAACCAAACACCATGTCCAGGATCCACACATCGGCTGGTGATAAACGACCTACAAGGCTAAACCAATGGCCCAGTCTGCAAATGGTCACTAGATGAGTCTTGGAAAAAGACAAAAGATGGGCAAAACATTTGCCCTTAAATCCTGAAGGGTTCAAAAGTCGGGAAAGTATAATGAAAACATGTATTTGGAAACAATTTGAACCTAAATGAAGTGCCTAGAACTCGGTGAAAAATTTATTTTAACTCATTGTTAATTTATATGGATTTGAAGATACTTCATAAATGAGATTGCGGGAACACATTAGTCAGGGAACTGGGAAAATTAATGAGATTTGAAAACGTGTGGGGGACGGCCCTTCTACAAATAATGAATAATAGTTTTTGGTCAACGGGGACAAGGTTAAAAACCAATATAGCATTTAAAATTAATTAAGCGCCACAAAACAACTTTCCATATAACCGTGAAATAATAGCAAATTTTGGTGATTCAGACAAAGTTGTAAACATTATTTGAAGAATGATACAAACAATATAAAATTATAATATTATTCAAAAATAATGATAACGGGAAAAAAAAATAGCATTAAATCCCCATTCATTTCCCATGTCAGATTTTAAAATGACAATTAGTTTCCATTTGGGCATCTTAAAATTTGATTCAAAAATTTAATAGGATAACAGATGACTTAAAACCACAGTTCCAAAGGTATATTAATAGCAAAAGCAAGAAAGCTAGGAATTGTTTAAAAAGTAATCATCTTAATTTTACAAGGGTTATAAACCTTTTATCTCAGCTTTCATACGAATAATGGTTCAATTCCCCAGGGGTTTTCTAAAAACAAAGTTTGGATTTTCTTTTGTCATTTTTAGAAGGCGATTTAACCCTTTGTATCTTACTGCCCGATGATAACGATTCAGCAATGAAAATCTTCTTATTTTTACTCCGTGCTATTATTTGAATTTTATATTCCCTAAAAAGTATTTTTTAACGTGTTTGTCTTCAGTTATTAACTCATTATTAAAGGAGGTGTGCAGGAATTGAAAGGGTTCAACTTGTTCCAGTCTAGGTAGAAAAGGACATTAATATTCCCTCCTGTAATGTGCAGTCCAAAGGCTATTTTCACACGGCATGAGCTGCTCAGGAAAAAATAAGTGCAAATACTTTCTAAAAACTGTTTACTTTTAAAGCATAAAAAAAGAAAAAAAAAAATGACACGTTTTGAGTAAAAGCATAAAAAAGATGTAATAATAAAAATGATGTTTTTATAAGAAAAAGATCCCTAAATGGAGTTTCGATCAATTCATTTTTAGACCAGTAAAGTGTAATATCAGGTTTCCAGTGTTATACCTTGTGAAATCGGTAAAAAAAACATATATTTTTTCTGAACTGGTTGATGCCAGGATTTGGTCTTGATTTTTGGAAAGGTGTCTTATCGTCTACAAAACTTAGTTTAGTGAAAAATATTAGCACGAGCAGATCATCAAAAAAATATAAAAAAAGATAATGGTTGAACATCTGTTATATCTTTCTTATTCTTGGAACTACTACGAAAAGTACACGAAAAACGGAACGACACATCCTCAACAACACCAGCCAATACCGTGCAGTCATTACTTTCATGGCTTTAGACACATCCCTCTCTCCAATTTCTCCCCACACTTCTCTGAAATAGTATCTTCCTTCGCATTCTTTGTGAAGGTCATTGTAGTGCTGCATTCCAAAGCTTTACGAATAATTTTATGGGTAGCAGCGCAAAGCAAATGATAGTATTTTGGAAGGGTGTGTATATATATATATATGTCCGGGGCAGTTAACGCATCAGCTGAGTAGGGCGTATATATATATATTCCCGCGGCAGTTAAGGGGTTAATAAAGTAATTAAAAACTCAAAATTTAAAAGATCCATCTTGCATGTATCCCTGCACCTGTACACAGAAGTAGGCATTTTCCACCTGGTGCAATTTTTATATGTCCTGAATTACTCCTCTAGGTGTGGTGCCAAGTATCTATCCTGAATTCTAAAATTTTCCTAATCCCCATTTTCTAATCTTTATTTTGTTTTTGCTCATTGCTTCACTAACTTCTAAAATTCTTCCTACAATGGCTCTGGCACCAGCCTTGATCTCATATCATTTAACATTTATTCTCATTACTCATATTATTAAAGAAATAAAATTAGGAATTTCTTTTATGCATTCTAACTACACATACTTTAGAATAGCAGAAATCTTCCGTTAATTTTGAAATCCTAAAATAAAGATGAGACTTAAGAAAGTAAAAATAATAAATAAGAAAGAATTTGATTAAAAGAAAATTAGTCTTCACAGGTATGTTGTTAAAGCATTAACAGATTAGGGGATGAAGCAGAAACTAGTTGGAGCACTTATTTGTTTATTGATAAAAATAAACTTAAAAAAGATGCTAAAGAGAAGAATGATGTAAATTAGCTAAAATGTTTGGAAAGTTTTCAAATTAAAAAGACACATTAATACTTGGTTGGGAGTTGTTGCTATGAAACATATATATTTTGTAGTTTTTTTATGTGTAATAATATAATTTTAGAATCAGTATCATAAATTACATGTGTAATTATGTTGTGTAGTAGATTCTGTATAATAATAATGTATCCTATTTTCAGATTTATTTTACTCTTAGAATGATATTACAAAAGTTAAGTTCAGAGATCAATAATTGCTTTTATTTATTAAACTCCCTCTAACAGTTCCTTATTTATTTATTTTTTTTTATTAATGGCCCTTAAAGATCCTTTAAAATCCTTAAATTCCATGTGCAAAAATGTGTACAAACCCTGTCCAGGAGCTAAGGGTTTCCAGAGATGCAGTGACAGTATGGATCTCTCAATCAGTCGCAACTGTCACTGAGCGCTTATTTGCTTAGCGTGTTTGTAATAAAGTAAATAATTGCTCATTCCTTCACATCAATCTTTTTTAGGTAATCCCATTTTTAAATCAATAAATTTGTGCCAAATAGGAAGTGTCATTTTAAAGTGATTGTACTGAAAATTAGGCATTTAAAAAATCTACAAGTTGAAATTGAAGCACTTGATTCTGTTTATAATTGTCATATTGCTTTTAACTATAGAGGGAAATCCTTTCTCAACAACATATTGCTATAGTACCCATAAATCAAATATCAGTACAGATTCAATAAAAATGTGTACCATTTAACTTATTTATACTACTAAACTAAATGCAATGATGTATGCTGACGCTAAAGTAACCACTAAACAAACTACTGCCATAAATAAGTCCACAACAATTGTGAAAAATATACTTACCCTTTACAGTGTGCAAAAATAGATTAAAAGATTTTAAAGAGGCATCGTTTTTTTGGAATAGCTATAGATGCTAATAACCATAATGCTGAAAAAGATGATTCCTTTAATAATCAGTAATAATGAAAAAGTTAGAGAGCAATTCAAATTACCAAAATTGGCGTCTGTGTGTAATGAGTGTTCTCAGGCAGTCGTTGAGTATTGCAGATATCTCTCAAAAATCTAAATAGTCCCATAGATAAGCTTATTGCTTTTTGTGGAGATAATACAAACACTAACTTCAGTGGCTTAAATCAAGCTAGAAGAAAAAATTGTGTATTTTAGCCTGAACTCTGAGTTGGAAAGAAATACTGAAGGCATATAATGTCTGGCACACACTTTGCATAACACTCTATCAATAGCCACTGATGTTTCGACTCTCAGTGTTAATCAGTGGTTGTCAAGATATTGAAGTACTTTAGCATTTACACTGCAAGGATTGAAAATCTGAGAGTTTTGCGTATATTTGCTTTTACCTGCAGTTGAAAAGATACTGAAACTGTGGCAGACATTAAAAAGAATTTTTCAGTAACAAAGAGACCTACAAAAGCTATTAAACTTTTTTTGTGGGGAGGGGATGGTCCAATGAGTACTTGCATTCATAGCTCAATATTTCTGGATCTCAAATTAAAAAAATAATGGAAAAATCAAGCATCACAGCCCTGGAAGTAAAGTCTGTATTGCTAGAGATACAACAAAATATGACTGAAAGAAAAAAAGTCTAGTTTTATTGGAATAGCAATAAAAAAAAATCTTGAATCTCTTAAGTAATTTCAGAAAGAGCACTAAAATGGAAACTTTCAAAAAAGTAGGCTGTTGATTTCTTTAATACTGCTGTCAAATATGTTAAAAAAGGGTTACAGTTTTTCAAAAAATCCAGTGTGTTCACTGGATGACTGTCAACTAAGATCCTGGATGAGAAGAATGCGAATGTACTATTTACAAATAAGAAACATATTTAAAAGGTTATTTAGAGAACAATTATACCAGCCATATCAGCAAAGCAACTGTAAAATTGAGTAGAGAAGAGAAATGTCTGAAATTTTTAGCAGATAAGATTGATCTGAAATCATGTCTTACAAAGCAATGTGAATATGTATTTGCCATCCCAGCCCACAATGAGAGAGAATATTTACCCTAATGTCAGCTTAATGGTCTGACAAAAGAAACATGTTGTCAGTAGAGACAATTGAAGCAATTTTGATTTGTCATTATAATATTAAAATAAGTCATGCTTAATTTTAATTATGTGAAAGAAAAGGATCTAATAAAGAAAGTAAAATCAGCTTTAAAATAAAATATGGCTATCAAATCAAGGTAATCAAAATTTTTGCAAGAAATTATAGCAATGAAAATTTTATTTTTATTCTTTATTTCTAGTATTTATCTTTCCATATTTTTTTATTTCATTTAAAAAGCTTCTTAACTTAGCTAGCTCAAGATATAAATATTATATTAATACAAGGTTTTAGTCTATATCTTTAATTTTCATTTATTTAAATCTGTAACTTATTTCATTTTCTAAGATGTGACACTTAATTGTCTATGAAAATGGGATTATTCTTTTATTTTTCTAGGGTCTGTAAACTTTACTCCTGTTCATGGAGGTGATTCACAAGTTCAAGGAATTGTTTTCCCTTGGATCTTACAAGTTTTTAATTTAGAAGCTTTTCATTTTTTCAAAATTATTGAAAGTTTTATAAGAGGTGCTCCAACTATCACACCTGAGATTGTTAAGGTAATTGCATAAAGTAGTTGAACTGTGTGATGTTTTGAAATTCTGTTTAAGTCTTTAAATATTATGATCCCTTACACAAGTTTTAAAAAATCTTTCTTATGTATGAATACTTATGTGTATTGTAGCTCATCCATTTAATATGCTTTATGAACTCATCAAGTATTCTTCAGCTAAATTGCTAAATATGCTGTAGGTTCAGATGTTACAAGAATGTTTTTTAAGCTGTATGTAAATAACACAGTTTCAGACATGCATTCCTAGCAACAGAACAAGTCAAATTATTGTCATAAATTTTATGATTTGATGAAACGATAAAAAATAAGGAGAATGAAGATGAAAAAGGAGATACATTATATATATATATATGTATGTATAAAAGATTGGTTCTTTTAAATTAGGTTATATAAAAATGACTTTCCTTTCCAAAAAATTAAAAGCTTTTTTTTATTGTTATTATATACAAGGGTTGGAACTTTAATAGTGGCAACTATTTATTTACAAGGAATACAAAAGTGATTCATGTCACCATGTTTTACAGTCCTTCAGTATAGTCACCAGCATTGTGTACAACCCGTTTGCAACGATGTGGAAGTCGCAGAATACCTGTAGCAGCCCGGTTTTGTTGATAGTTTGAAAGGACCGGTCTACTGCCACAAGAATCTCAGGAACAGTTTGGAAGCGAGTGCCACGAAGTGGTTCCTTCATCTTAGGAATTAAGTCATAGTCACAAGGGCTTAGATCTGGGGAGTATGGTGGATGGTAAAGCACTTCCCAGCACCATCTCTTGAACAAATCAGTCACAGATTGCGCTGCATGCGGCCGAGCATTGTCATGCAAATGAGAGGAGCGTTCTGCAGAAAGTATCGCTGTTTTTTCCTCAAAGCTGGTCAGAGATTGTGCTCCAAAAATGAGCAGTAATACTGTGCTGTGATGGTCTGCTGTAGGGGAACGGTATGCGTTAGGATGACACTATCACAGTCATATACGAGAATCACCATAACTTTCATATTGCTGCGTTTCTGACGAAATTTCGAACGTCATGGTGACCCGTGATGACGCCATTCGTTTGATTGGCGTTTCAGTTCTGGCTGGTACGATCGGGCCCAAGTCTCATCCAGCGTAATGATACGGCATAAAATAGCATCTCCTTCGCTCTCATAGCGCTCCAGGTGGGTTCGGACAGCATCGTATCGTAGCCATTTCTGCATTTCCGTCAATTGATGTGGAACCCATCCTGAAGCATTTTTTCTCATGGACAGGCGTTCCTTCAGAATGTGCAGCACAGTCGTATGCGCTAATCCTGTTTGTCCGGCAAGCTGATGAATCGTTTGACAGCGATCACTGTCCATTAGTGCGGCAACAGCTTGCACGTCTGCATCGCTGACACTCGGACAACCTGGCCGCAGCATGTCTGCCACGTTTTGGCGTCCTTCATTGAATGCTTTCACCCATCTTGCTACGGTTCTGTAAGGCAATGCAGATTCCCTGCAAGCCTCTTGAAGCCCTTGATGACACTGTCGTGCTGTACGACCTCTGGCACATGCAATTTTTTTCCCACATTGTTGTTCTTGTTTTGAAAACATCCTGACAACACTTACTTTAGACCTCGAGCTAATACAAGGATCCGTTCTTCGCATCACTCCGCATGCGCGTGACATAGGCAGGACGAGTCTTTTTGCTGAGAGGTAAGGTAGGTATGTAGTTCAGGTGTGGTATACGCGATATTCTTTGGTTTTGTTGCGTAGCATTTTTTCAGCTGTGTTGCCACTTTTAAAGTTCCAACCCTCATATATACATAAATTTATTTTGTGAAAGTTTAAACTTAAATTTGTACTAAGTAGCACAGTTACATTCAGTGATTTTTTTGTGCTTGTAATGCAGGGGAATGCATGCTCCTAAACATTTTGTAAATCTAACAGGAGAAAAAATTTTAATTTTAGAATTTCTGGTAAACTAGTTCCAAACATATTATGAAATAACTATGGGATTTGTTAAACTTTATGTAACATATATTAATAATATATAAATATATTTAAACTAACCAGAAGTTCTGTTTTTGTTCTACAAAAAATGGAATATCTTTTAGCATTAAACATGCCACCGAAATCATTTATAAAATTGATTATCGAGTTGCAGACAAATACAAACAAATCTTTTTTAAGTCACGTGGATAGCTGGTAGTTGGAATCTAGCCCTGGGGGTCTCTTAGTCTTGTTGCTATGTCCATGACAATGAATCTGTTTATGTTTAACCCAAAAAATTTAGAGAGTTTGTATGTAGTGAAACTCTTGAGAATACACATGTCTTATAACAGAAGGGAAGTACTGGCAATAATCGTACTCATAATTTTGATCATTGACATTTATTTTTTTTCCATGCTGTTTTCTGAGTTTTGGATAGTGGGTGTTTAATCTGTACTGTTTTACTCATAGAATTTTGATCTACAACTTCATTGAGTATTTCAGTATGATTACAAAAATTACCAATTATTTTACATCATTACAGCTATCAAAATTCTGCAATAAATATGACTGATTACTGGATAATAATAAAAAAAAACTTGATTGCAGTTCTTGCAAATAAGTTAGTGATTTTGAAATATACCATAAAATGCAAAGCATGAACATTTCTCAGCATTGGATTTAGCCATCAATGCAATGAGTGAGGATAAATCAAACCAATTTATTAATCAAACCAATTGATTTTTATTTATTTATTTATTCTTTCAGAATAAATAAATAAATTATTTATTCTGAAAGAATTTATTCTGAAAGAATAAATAAATAAATAAAAATCAAGTGTGTAGAAAAGTTAAATTATCAAGCAGCCCTTTTAATACTGGAAAATAGCAAAAACTAAAATTCTGGAAACTATACGCACCAAAGCTTTCAAAAATTAAAAGGGAATAACCACAAATATATATATAACAGCATACAAATCAGCTAAAGACAGTTGAGTTTTTTAATGATATTGGGGCAAAAATTTATGTCCAAGAGTTGATTGGCTGCATTTTACACTTGGCTGACTCATGTATTGGTACTGTGTATTACAGTGGAAGTGAAACGCATCGTCATTAAGAACAAAATACACTCAAATAACAAATCAAATAACAAAACCATCCCCTTTCTACTCCAAGCACTATAATAACTCAGTTGTTATCATTTACTATATAAAGACCATATTTCTGACCATGAATGAACCTACCAATCTATTTCTTGAACAGAACTTAAAGTTGTTACTGCCAAAGGAATATTCAAATCACTAATGGACCCATCAAAGGGAATTCGGATTTCATAATAAATTTCTGGAAGAAAATCTCTTGGCAGTTGTAACTGATTAGGCTGCAGCAATTAGAATATTAAGGATTTTAGATAATAAGAGCTTTTCTTTCAGTTTTGTATGCATTTCTGCTATTTGGTAAATTTTTAGGCTTTAGTTGTCCACTTCAAAATAAATGAAACTAGAAATAGAAATGTGTGAATCTTATATGAAGAACTAGAATGAAAAATAATTCTAATATTGGTTACATTTTAGATCTTGTCTTGATATGTGACATTCTTTAAAGATTAGAAGAACTTCATAGAGAACTGCAAGCATGTAATATCACAATTTACTTTGCTCACAGAAAAATAACGATCAGATTAAATTCTTTGATGAAACAAACATGAGATTTTATTACCTGGAAGTCTTAAAAGCTGAAAAAAAGTTTGGACTTAAACGAAGTTTCACTGTAAGTAAAGTAAAATTCTTTTGACTGTTAGAAAGCCTAGATGGTTTTGTTTGGTTTATTTTATTATGGCAAAGCATTCAAGGGCTATTTGCTAAAAGGGAAGGATGCCTTCATGAAGGACTTTGTAAGGGAAACTGACTCGGATATACATTACACATGAGAAAAACCACAAAAACGCCCATGCATTCTGTTTGCCCCCTCCCCAAACCCGTTTGCGGAATTCGAACCTTGGAACAAACTGCTAGTGTTACTTTATGCCAGTCCGGTATGGGAACACGCTACTAAAACCCTCATAAAAAAGATCCAAGTTATTCAAAATAGAACCCTTCATGAAATTATTAATACAACCTGGTTCATCCTAAATTCATATATTCGCAGAGATCTTCAAATTGATAATCTACAAAATTATATTAAAAACCTTGCAACAAATTTTTTCCTTTCTGTACTATTACATCCAAACAGCTGTATCTGTTCTTTGCGATTCTCACCTTTTCCTAGAAAAAAACACAAATATCCTTTGGATATTCTTACCTTCTTTTGTTAATTATTTGAAGTACTTACTACCTTACTGATCCAACTTTTTTTCACATTGCTTGTCTATTTTCATTCATTACATCTTTCTTCGCTGACTGATGGCGGCTAAGTGAAATATCCCATTCTACCATCTCGATTCTTCTTATCATCCTTTTGTTGTTCCAGACATTCTTTTATCTGATGCAGAGTAAAAGCACGCTGTCACTCTCTTTCCATTCGTTTAAGTAAAGCGACTTCACCGCTCAGCCGTTAGTGCGCCTAAAAGCTTAGATGGAGAACCAACTTTATCAAGTGGAAATACTGACATTTTAGTGTAGGCTTAAGTGCTAGATTGTAAAACTTGTCCAAAAAATCCGCTTTTAACCTATGCTGAAATAGAAGTAATGAATATGTATGAAAATGTAAGATTTCAGTTTCTTGATAGATAAATCTTAAGGGCTTTTTGAATGTGTCTTTCAGAAAAAGAGATGTCATCTCTCTTATTCCTCTTTTAAATGTAACTAAGAATATACTAGTTTCAGTTAATGAGTGCAAATATTGCTTATCACAGCTGAATAATAGTAGTGACTTCAGCAAATCTTTTAATAGTGATTACAACAATAGTTTCATTACATTTAAGCCATGTTCTGTAGCACATATAATATTTATAAAATTGGTAAGCTCACCTCTGTGTTTAGTTTATGTAAATTCATGGTTTTTGAAAGGATAGCGTTGCTTGATGGTCATAAAAACAAGCAGTGTAATCTGAAGATGTTAGTGAACATTACCTTATGCCAATCTGAAAATATTTTTAACTATATAACCTGAGAAGTAATGTGTGGTTAACTATATAAAGGACTGCATTATAAGAGACAAACTACATTTTTTGTAATTTGAACTACAGAATGATGATTTCTGTGAGTTAAACTGAGTGTACCCTTAAACTTTTTTTAATAAAGAACTGATTGTATTAATTTATAATTAAAACTTGTTATGCTATAGACCTAATTAACACTGCATTATGTAAATCTGTAGTATTTTCGAATGATCAAAATTAAAACTGATTAAAAATTATGTTATTTTAAAAAAAAGAAAAGCTTAAAAATGAAATTCATTTTTAAAGAATCATTATCATAGATATATTTTATAGTTTATTCTAGTTTTTAATTTAATTATCAAATGCAAATATTTTTATATAGTGATTCAAGCATTGAAGCTTTCTCAAATTCCTAAATCGATCTTCAATTTCACTAAACCTTTTATTATATAAACATTTATGGATTGGTATTCACAAATGTATTTTATTAGAAGTATGAACTTTCTTATGACTAGTATCTATTTAAGATGACTACTGCTAAAAATGACCAGTATTTCTGACAGCATAAATAAATATTGATATTATTCTCTATTCCATACTCAGCCTTTTTTTTTTTGTTTCAAGCCACATGCATATATTTAGGATGCTTTGTATAAAACATATAAAATACATTTTATTTTAATAATATACAAATAAAAAATATAAACTGATGTATCCAAGTGTTTGTATAAAAATTAACATGCTTTTGTGTATGGGACAGAAATTTTACTATTTTTGACAAATCAAGTCTATAACTGCTACATAATATTCTTAATGCAACATCAAGGTGAGAATCAGTAAGTCAAATTTCATACATGCCGTTTGTATATTTCATTTTAGAGTAGGACGATTCACAAAGGTGTGTTGCTGAACAAAATATGAGTAGTTTTTGTGTCCATTTCTGTATGATCTTGTCTTTTTAAGGCCTTAATTTTAAAAATTCAGCATAATCCTCTTTCTTCATTTCTTTAAAAATACTCTCCAAATTCATATTATTTTTAAGTTTGATGAACTGTTCAAAGAGCATTGCATAATTGTATTTATTGCTGCTAGTTTTTACATTCTGTGAATCTCGTGTAAACTATAATTCTTTCTTAATATTTTTTAAATCTTGAAATCTGCTCTTAACTTGTTCTCTTTTGAATAAAACAGATAAATTAAATCATTTGAAATTATTATATATTTTTCAGGAGATATTTAAATACCATTTTGTTTAACTTCCATTAAATTGAAAAATAATGTAGCATTTGCTTTCATAGTTTCTTGCAATAAATACTTAGTTTTTTCAAAACCAAATACTTTGTTTGTTTTATTTTCACCCTGTAAACCATGAGAGATTAGTTTATTTTAATATTGCATAGAAAGACTAAAAGACACTGTTGTCTATCAGTTTTTAATTTAATAGACTTTTTTGTATTCTTGTAAAAATAAATTAATTTCTCAGTGTAAAGGGGGAGATGTTCTAGAACACTTCTTTGCTTAACCATCATATTGTCAAGGAATGCAGAAGAGTGTCATTATGATTTCTGACAACAAATTTTTAAATTTTTTGTGATTTAGTTTTTGTGGATAGATGAAATTTATTCTGCTAAAATTTCATGAAAATGATTCTAGATTTATCGAGACATCTAGTTCACAATAGTGATGGCAGTTTTTACTGATGAATAACTCAGTGAAATGATTAAAGATCTGTTAAATAATATTTTTGTTTTAATAAGGAAATAATTCAGTCTTCAGATCCCATCATTGATGGACATCCTTTCTGTGCACATTTAAATCAGTTTATATCAATATGTAATTCTTTTCCAGAAATGTGCTATTAATGTCAATATAATCTTTGCCTCTGGTTTCATTCTTTTCAAGAAGAAATTTTGAAAAATCTTCATGAGTTAAAGTTTTTTCATTGTAGTGTCTAATAAAAATGAAGGATAATAATTTATTGAAATGTCAGTGCTAGAATAAGAAGTTAAAATATCTACTTTTAAATCTTCCTTAATGTAACTGGAAATGTGGCTTGCAACATACTCTGTGTGCCTAAGGCAGGTAGAATTTGAGATTTGCATGAATTTATGCAGTATATGATTTTATTGCTAAGTGTATTAAATATTACACTGGGCACATTGATGAAATATTCTTTCACAACTCTACATCAGTAAATGGTTTCGTATGTATGCTAAGTATGCAACAAATTTCATAGCCACTGTATCTTGTGAATTTTTTAGTTGAATAGAATTCTTCTTGAAATTAAAAAAAAAAAAAAAAAAATTAAACTGTCAGACATTAATGCAATTGCCTAACTACAGCAGTTCATGCACATGCATCACAAGGTTAGTTCAGACAATGTTTGCATAATCATTTATCCATGTTAGTGTATTAGACAGTGGTCAATGTTTTAATAATTGTAGCAGGGCATCCTAGAGTTAAAGCTTTAGAAGACTTGTCGAACTTTAACTTGTATTTAAGAAATTTTAAATTTTATGCTTGCACAAATGATGCTGAATCTTTGTTTGCAAAAACTATAAATAAATGTCATTAATTTTATCATTTTTCAGTATTTTGTAATTAGAAACAGCTCCAGCAATTTTGGAACCTTAACGATCAATTGTGTTGGGACCTGATATAAATTAAGCACAATAATAATTCAAAGCAAATGTACCTTTATTTATTTACTATGTGCCTAAACAATTTAGCTGGCAACTTTAAAAAATAGACAGTCTAGGCTTAATAATATGATTCCTTGTTTCCCCGCATCATTATTCCTTGGTATCATTATCACAGTTTGCCTGATTAGTTAATGACTCTTTGAATGAATAAAGCTGTTTATGTTAATTTTTTTGTTTTCTATCTGTATAGCATAAAACAAATCAGTATGTATGTACCATTATTATGAATTATTTCAGAGAAAAATTTATGATTTAAAAATATGTTCTTCAAGTGAATAAATTCTCTTATGCTATCCTGTTTTGAAGGCTGCTGCTTCTGAAAATTATCAAGTATAGACAGCATTTGTTACAGTAGCACATTCGTTTCATTTAAAAATAATAATAATAATAATAATAATAAAATAAATAAATAAATAAAAAGAAAACTTATCTTACCTCTACTTCAATTTGATTGTTTCTATGGTAGATTTCATTTTAAGAATGTCCTTAATCTGAAATAATACTTTAATTTTCAAGACTGAATCTGAAAATTATATTATGTACATTTTATTCCGTAACTTTGTTCTTTCCAATATTAATATAAATTTACTATGTTGATAAATCCTCTGGAGGGCAGGCCATCTTATTTTTATTTCCTTGTCCTTTAACATTTTTTTTATATAAATCTAGAATCATTTTCATGATCTTTGAAATATCAAAATAAACATTAAATAATTGTTTTGTGCAAATCAAAGTAATAAATTACATGTGATTGCAGGGATTTACAAAATGGTTCCAGAAAGCATTACCAGTGGTTATTGACTTACATGTTAAAAGATATTTGTGGTATTTTATCTTATTTATCTAAAGAAGCAAAAATTTTTATTTTATCTTAGTTGTTAATGTTATATGAATGAAAATATTATCCTTTAATCTTTTTCAAACTTTTTGACATTTTTAGCATTTAAAAGAAACTGAAGACAAAATTCTTGAATCTCTTGCTTGGCAAACTGTAAGTATATCTGGTACTCTTCTGTTATTAGTGCTGGATGTGGAAATGTATGTATGCATGCATGTGTATATGTATATGCATATATCTGTGTGTGTATACAGTATACATGTATGCTTACGTACATAAGTACATGTATGCTTGCGTACATAAACAGATACATCCATGTATACATGCATACAGTTCTGAATCTGATCCCCCGATAACAGAAGAGTACCTTATATCTATTTTAGTATTTGTGAAAATAACCCAATAGCTTCTACATTTTCATATAATTTGTTATAGAACTAGTAAAATAATTTTTCTTTTGCTGATGAAAAATTTTGATTTCATTTGCATTAGCTTTCATTCAGCTTTTAAATTTCAGATGATACTCTTAGTATAATAGTATTTTAACAGTTCTGTATATTACAATATCCATATTCATGCTTGCTTTTTTGAAAAAAAAATATACATATATATATATATATCATGTATTCAAGGCAGAGCCAAGATTTTCTCTTCACTGCTGTAATACTAAATTTAATGTATTCGTCTTCTTACTTGTTATAGTCAGACTCATTTTGTATTCATTGTAATTAACTGGGTACAGAGCTACTATAAAAGATTCGTTAATTTTCAAAATGCTATACACTCAAAAGTATTACATGTGCAAATGTGAGTAATATATTTATAAAAATTACCTGAACGGTATATTGGTCAGCTATTGATATTTTAAAGCTCTCATACTGGCAATTAAAATAACTGATTGCATTTCAGATATTTTTCTGGCATATTTATGCAATTTTTGTAAAACATTTTTAATATTATATTTATCTATATTAATTTAATTTTTAAAACCATAAGGCACGTTTATCAGAATCATGTTTTAAACAATAGAAATACTGAAAATGATCTTGTCACATTTAACCAAAAAAGAATTTGAAAGGGAAAGTTTTTTAAAGTTATAAGGTATTTCTCCCACATTCTTGGTTTCATGGTGTAGTGGTTCTGCACACTGGGCCGGTATCCAGAGGTCCATGGTTTGATTCCAGGCAAAGACGATTCCTAATTTTTCCTCTCTTCTGCTTCCAAAAATTACCTAATGTCTCTACAAAGTTTACCTTTTTAGTCTGCTGATTGGCCAGATTTGCAATGTGTTAGTCTAATTTTGAAGTAAGAGATGTCTTATTAAATGTTAATAAAAATCTTAACTTCTTCAGTGTTCAATTTTTTAATGGAGAATATTGATCTGATATTGAACACCCATAATTCAAATCCAGGTCATCAGCTTTTTTTATTATTATTATTATTATTTTGTTAGATTAGACTTAAATAATATGTACTGCTGTTTTTCTTCGGAAACAATAGGATATTAAAAACCTGTATCCAGCTTTGTACAGTTTTGGATTGTATTTTCAGATGTAGATATATATACTAATGGTGAATGAAATAACTATCATCTGAGTTAAGGTTCAGTATTGATTATAAGTTTAATCAGGTATAGTCAAAGATAAATGCAGTTAGTTTGCTAAAAAATTTAATTATAAATTCTTATTCAGTAATTAGATAGACATTATATTTCTTATTCACTAATTAGAAATTGTTTCTAATTTCTAACAAGAAAATACATATAATATGTATGTAATATATTTGGATAGATTCAGTTAAAATTTTAAAAACATGTTAAGAACCTTTTATTTAGAACTTGGCAACCTTTTGTACACTTCTGCTAGAAGGCAAGAATTGCAATTCTGTATGAAGGCTAATTATTGAAAATCGTCTAAATTGTATATTCAAATAATATGAATATCTTAAAAACAAGAGTTGTCTTAGATGCACTTCATATTTATTTAGAAAAATCTAACATTGAAAACGTGATATTTTCAACAACTATTTATTTCTGAATTATACTATCAAGTCTATGATGAGAGCATTAAGAATGCCGTAGTTTACTTAGACTGTGTTCTGGGATCCCAATTAGATTGGAACAGTCATGTTACTTTAGTTAAAGTAAACATTAAAAAAAAAAAAAAAAAACCCACTTGCAGGTTTGAAAAGGTGAGCCCGAGCAGAATGGGATTGCAGAAAGAGAAACTCTTTTGACCATATCTAGGATTTAGATTAAACCGGTTTTCAGATATTGTAATGAAATGCCGTTCCTGCTTCTATAGAGGGTCATTAACAAACTAGAAATTTTACAAACCCAAATTGAGGCTGACTATTGCTACAGTTAAAACATCACCTATTTGTGCCAGACCTTTGCTCAAAGACATAGTTTCTGTTAAGTTTGACACTAAAAAATTGCCCTGACTTTATTACAGATGATAATAACAAATACTTATGATCATAAACAATTAGAAATCCTAAAACACAATTAGGTTTTAATCAAATTAACTACCATCCAACATACATAATCTTATCTAAGAAGCTGACTTGCTAGCTGGGCAATGATATCGTCTCAGCGTTGTGGTACCAAGTAAATCTTTATTTAATTACTAGTGCAGATAAGCAGAAAATTAACAACTTTCAACTTTTGTTCACTAAAGAGAGGTATTCCAGTGATTGAGTGGGTATTTGTCATACTGATAGTTTTATGATAAATACTGGGGCTAGAGCCTACAGCAGCCTTTTTTCATTCAATTTTGCTTTTAATGTATATAAAAAACTTCGATGTGTAACAGGAAACCATGTTCATAGCTTTTTGGCAGTTAGCTATTTGCAAAAACAGATGAAAAAGAGGCCTTAGGCTATTCCACTTATGAGGCCCTTTCACCTCCCATCTTTAAGTTTGTAAATTGCATGCAAAATAATAAAATCCATCATTAATGTGATATATATCAATATGTTAAATGAAACATGTTGTGATTGGTTTAGAAAAAAGTTTAGAACACTTATTTGGACATTTATTCTCAGCATCATATATAGTACTTGTAACAATAACTCATCAAGCATAACACACAACATTTACAATGAAACAAAATTCAAATAATGAAAATCTTTGACTATGAAAATAAAATACGCAATAAAAACTATCATATTTTCTATCAAATTAAATTAAATATATTCAATACGTTGAAGATTAAAACAAATTCTATTCAGATAAATTTATTTCATAATAATTCGCATTTAAAGTTTAAGTATAAATTTCAAGTTTTAAACTAAATCAAAAATGGAACTTTATTCAAACAAAATCCAGATCACAAAAAAAGAAAATATCAAATTGTATATCATATTAAATTTTATGTTAATAGTTATTTTATTAATGAACTAATTCAATCCAAGTATCTATTAAAACAAAATAGTAGATTAGAAGAATTTCTTGTTAAACTTTTTCACACACAATTCTTCTATAAGTTCATCAAAATCTGTTTTTCCGAAGGTCTCATTTTCAGTGCATAAAATACTCAAGGAAGACAACCTTGTCTGGGTCATTGTGCTTCTTAATTGATTTTTAATATTTTTAAGTCTTGAAAATGACCTTTCTCCAGTACAATTATTGACTATTAAACTGAGAAACAGCCGTAAGATTGATTCCACATTGGCAAACGTCACTTGAATATTTTCTTTGAATATTATTTGATACAAGTCTCAATGCAACAATGTGGAATTTTTTGAAGGCTTATGCATTTGTATCACATATGTGTGGAAATGAAATAGTTCTTCAATAAGATTTTGGTTGACATCTTCTGGGTATTCTTGCATTAACAGCTCAAGACTTCTTTGAAGTTCTACTTTTGATAATATAAGATCAACAAGAAAGGAAAATATTTTTACTACATCATCATAAACAAAAGCTCTACTTCCTAAATTTGATTCTAGTGCATCTAATATAGGAATAAATGATTTAATCCTAAATTTATCTCTTGAAGAGTGTTTGTCTAAGGCATCAAGGTCAGACGAATATTTTTAATTCCCTTGCCTTTTACTTCTTACTATCCTTCTGGCAGCTCTATATTCAGTATTTGGCAATGTGTTTTTTGCTTGTTGCTCAAGTGCACCAAAATCTTCCCTAATTCCACGTAAAATATTCAAAAGTGGCCTGTACAAATATGCAGAACTACTAAGTAAAATATTAGGGCTTTGAAGAATTTTATTTACTTTTGAAAAATGTCTGAGTATTTGGTTCCAGAAATGGAGCATAAACACAAATTCAAATTCTTCCATCTTCTCTAAAAGATTGTTGGCCCTCAATCTAGTATCACCTTTTGTATTATTATCTGAATGTAAATAATTGAGTGCAACAGTGATATCATTATAATTTTCTAAAATAGCTACTGTAGCTTTTGCGAGTGCCTCCCACCTAGTGTGTGATAAATATTTAGGCACTTTTAGAATGAGGTTTCAAATGTGATTTCAAAACTGCCCATCTTTTTGTGAAAGACGAAAAAGATATAAACTTCATTCACAACATGGAAAAAATTAACAGCATCAAGGCAACAGTCAACAGCTGAATGACCTACTAAATTTAACACATTGAGCGCCAAGCGTATTTCTTAGGCAATCCCGCTCTGGCCATGCATGCCACTTAAAAGTGCTGGTATTGTAGGGCCAGCGATTCTTATCGCAGTAGAAGATAGTTTACGTTTGGAACATGATTTCTATAGGCATTCATTCAACACGTTACGCGCAAAGTCTGTTTTGTATATAGTTACATTCTATAGAAAGATATTACGAAGCAGAAAATTAGCATTACTGAAGTCCGGAAAGAATTAGCTCTATCCCTTACAAGTTGTGAAAAAGAAGATATTCCATCGAACAGAAATGCAAGAATATCTAAAAAACAACAGCATAAACTCCAAAGAAAACCGGGAAAAGCCTCTGAAGTACAGAAATATTGTAAATTATGGTATGATAAAAATGCAACTGAAGCTGGCAGAGTAATGGCCAGAAAAAAGACTAAGACAGTTGTCACAATTTGTAATAGCTGTAATGGAGAACCATTTTTAAGCTTACTGTGTTTCATTGAAATCCATTAGTCCTGTAATGAATCAAAATTAAGTAAATTTTAAATAATTTTTCTG